CACGCTCCAAAGACATGCTGGGAGGTTAATTGGATCCTGTCTAAATTGTCCCTAGTATGTGTGTATGTATGTATGAATGTAAGTTAGGGACCTTAGATTGTACACACCCTGAGGGTTAGGGACTGATATGGATGTACAGTATATATGTAAAGCGTAAATTGACGGTGCTATATAAGGACCTGAAATGATAATCTTTGTATACATGCCAGCTCTAAATGGCCATCTCCATCCCAGCAACCAAAGTTGTTAAGTGGCAAGAGCAGCCTGTGTCCTAGTAACCAAGGACTCTAGACGACAGGAGCTGCCTGCAACCCAGCAACCTAGGACACTAGCACTGTACATATGCAAGTGGACCAATAATGTTACATTTGTACCGTGTACAGACTAAGCTATGAAAATCATTCATGTCCCAGTGGCCATTTCACAGACACAGCCTAGCATGAAATCACGGTCCTTTTAGAGCACAATGTCAGCCAAAATGTTTTTGAAGTGGGTAATATTTCCCAGTGGGCAGAAAGAGAAAAACATTATTAGAGAGTTGGGGGGGGGGGGGGGGTGTTGTAAGTTATAACTTCTATCACTGTGTTTATTGCTCATAAACAAAAATGTTAACCCTTGCCCACTTTATTCAAGACTTTAAATGTTTGATTTTAAACAGACTCCCAACTCCCTACTCAGAATTAACATACCCCTTACATACTATTAGGATATGCTACCCTCCCACAGATCGGCTTCCCTCTAGATAACCCACTGCTTCTTGGTCAGAGCTGTAGCATAGAGGGCGGTTTGTGAAATGCATACAAATATATTTTGTCATAAAGGCAACCCATGTATTTTTTCTGCTTTTTAGATTTATTTTTCCCTTGAGTAATGTGAATAATGGTGTATGTACATCAAGATAGACCTATTTCCTTATTGATTAGTCAGGCCGTTCTCCCTACTGGATAGTGTATAGCGATTGTGCTCTGCTGCTACTTTTATCGTAGTGGATCTAACATAGAGTAGGATAAATGTTTATGCAGCACTGTGGCTGAAGGGTTAGCACTTCCACCTGGCAGTACTAGGGTCACTGGTTCAAATCCCAACCGCGGCACCACCTGCCTGGAGTTTGCATGTTCTCCTTGTGCCTGCATGGGTTTCCTCCGGGTACTCCTGTTTCCTCTCACACTCCAAAGACATGCTGGTAGGTTATTTGGCTCCTGTCTAAATTGGCCCTAGTATGAATGTGAGTTAGGGATCTTAGATTGTACGCCCCTTGAGGGTTAGGGACTGATGTGAATGTACAATATATATGTAAAGCTCTACGTAAATTGACAGCGCTATATAAAAACCTGAAATAAATGAATAAATATGGATTCTAAAGGCTAAGTTCACCATTTACGCAAATTGGCCCATGCAAACATGATGCCATACTAGTAGGCTATTTCTTTCCCTCATGCAGCCTGGCCCAAATACTTCATTGGTGACACCACCCAAATGCCTTGTGCTAATTTCAAGACACAGCAGTTGCTGCTGTTCACACCTGGCATTGCAGGAGCAAGTATGCTTCCTGATTCAAAATCTGAGCACACACGCAGTGCACCAACCGTGGCTGAGCTCAGCTTGCTGGGATAGGTGGAGGAAGAGCCAACCCTGTTCCCTTGTCTGCAAGGTCACCATCAGATTTATGGTAGTTTCAGGTAAGACAGTTTTTCAGCTCTTTTAAATATAAGGTATTTCCAATGTTTTAGGTTCTGAAGCTGGAAGGGCTAATAAATAGTAAATTGACTGTTCTCATAAACCAGATATCAGAATGTCTGTTCCCACCTTGCTTTAAATATAGCACTTCCGCCTGACAGTACTAGGGTCGTTAATTGGATCCTGTCTAAATTGTCCCTAGTATGAGTAAGTATGAATGTGAGTTAGGGACTTTAGATTGTACGCCCCTTGAGGGTTAGGGACTGATGTGAATGTACTATATACATACATATATTATATATATATATATATATAATGTATGTATGTAAAGCGCTGCGTAAATTGACAGAGCTGTATAAGAACCTGTAATAAATAAATAGGGATTTCAGGAAGATTAATTAAAAATATTCTGAAGAAAACATATAGAAACCTCCTTGGCATCCTTTAGGCTGGGTTCACAGTGAAGCGGTGCGGGATTTGCATAATTTTCTGTACAAATTCTGCACCGCATCAGAATCGCACCTCGTTCATGCGAACCACTGCGGGTGTGTATGTTAACTTGACACCCAAAATCGATCCGCAAAACGTGGTGCAACATCAGATCACATAGGTGTAAATACCCATGCGATCCGATTCTAGTGCGGACCCAAAAAAGGGTCCTGCACCTTTTTGGTGCGGGTGTGGTGCAATTTGCGCCATACAAAATGTATGGCTCCAATCGCACCGCACACAAATTGCATGTGATCTGCACAGGAATGCGGTGCGGTTCCTGTGCGAATCACATGCAATATACCGCACCGCATATATGAGAACCCAGTCTTAATGATCTGTAGTGATTTAAAAGCTTGGCTTTTCCTGCTCCACTTCCACTGCCTCCACAATGTCAGTCCTTGTGCTCTGCAACATTAGAATTGAAATAGTCATCCTCTCAGAGCTCTAAGGGGATTTCCCAACTACTCTTTACACTGTAGAGCACAGAGATTGGAAATGTGCCGCAGCAAGAACTCAGGGGGATGGATCAGATTTGAAAGGATCATATCTTGTGACAGATACCATGGAGCGAAGTGTAACTTCTTCTTTAAAGCTGAACTCCAGGATATTTAAATATTGTTTAAATACAAGAGCCGTGTGTTTTCATAATTCTTTGTGTTTAAAGATGTGTGCAGAAAAATCCATTGTAGAACTTTACCTCTGTGCCGGAGCTGCGTATAATAAAGACCAGCCCCTGCTGCTCTGATCATGCGCTCTCCTTGTGCAGGCTACCTGATCTTATATTCACTCTGTCCTGTAGTTTTCTGCAGGCAGTCCTGGGTGGACCTACTGAGTCCCTCCCACAGCTCTGTCTACACCGGATATGTGCGGCACATTGATGATGTCACAACTTCTTTTATATGGCAACATCTGGGTTTGCAATCGTATTTAGTGCACACAAGGTGGATTTATATTCTTTATGGCTAATAAAGAATATATTCAATGAAGGTTTTTTTTTTTGCCCAGAGATCTTTTTTAAGCTCATTGGGAATCGGTGGGAGCAGTAGTTTTTGCCATGTTGCTTCAATGACACCTAATTTTTAAATGTTTCACATGCACTGGACTGTTAAAAGCATGGTATAGGAAGGGGCCTGGTAAAAAGGGTTGTTTTTCAGCACAAATCACTGTCATATGGTTAGTTTAAATGCAGATAGTACTTTGTAAAAGTTATTTACCTTTTAACGGCAACACAGTGGCTAAATGGTTAGCACTTCTGCCTGGCAATACTAGGGTCATTGGTTCAAATCCCAACCACGGCACCACCTGCCTGGAGTTTGCATTATTTCTCTGTGCCTGCGTGGGTTTCCTCCAGGTACAACAGTTTCCTCCCACACTCCAAAGACATGCTGGTTTCGTTAATTGGATCCTGTCTAAATTGGCCCTAGTATGTGTATGTATGAATGTAAGTTAGGACCCTTAGATTGTACGCCCCTTGAGGGTTAGGGACTGATGTGAATGTACAATATATGTGTAAAAGCGCTGCATAAATTGATGGCACTATACAAGTACCTGAAATAAATAAAATTAATAAACTTTAATGGCATATTGATATAATATTGTAAGACCATATTCACATGTAGGAAGTCTGTCTGTGAACAGGAACATGTCTACTTTACGGACTCATCCACACAGTCTAGTTTAACAGGTCTCTGTTTCAGGGACCATGTCCCTGCGTATCTGTCAAACTGTGCTGTGTTGGTGAATTCATACCGCTGTCACATCTCTATTCACCTATATACCGTAGATTGCATGCACACAATTCCCCACTAGTAGAAAAAGATTAAAGAATGGCTCTTCATGTTGTGTGGGACTCTGCACTAGTATGACTGCGCCCTAAGTGTTTAGATTTGTTTCTGCTCACTGCAGTAAATTGCGGCAGTGTCAGGAAATGTTCCTGACTGTGTGTTTTGCCAAGGAAATCACAAGATCTACTCTTTAGGAACTCAATAATTATCATTCATGTTAGAATAAAGCATTTCAAGATGTGTGAGAGACTATGGAGATAAAAAACAGTGACACCACCGGATGGCCTCATGGCTGGAGCTTGTGTTAAATACACATGCACAGTTTAAAGGCCATCTCCGCTTGATTGATGGGCACATGTGAGCTGATTTTAGCTGTCAAATTTTTTAGTGATGCATCCTCCTTTTGGCAGTCATTGAAATTTCTATTTAGTAGTTAGTTTTTCTATATCTTACCACATAACTATGATAGAAGTATCAGCTTCTCACAGTTGCTTTGTGTTTCCTCCACCAGCATGTGGCTCCTCCTACTAGCAATCATTTAAAACAGAAATACAAGGGCTGGATCTTTAAAGTTGAACTAAACTCTAACTAAAGAATAAAAAAAAAAAAAAATTCTATCTTACTTTTTACATGTTTTTTTCTTTGTGCGCTATGCACACCCTGTAGACTCTTCCTATATGCACAGTCCCGCAGCAGCTGAAAGTCTGTTTTACTGTGATGACTACAGCAGAATGTACCAACACACTGTGCATTACTTGTAATCCAATTCAAGAATGCACAGGAAAAGGTGACAACACTGCGGCTAAACTGAGCAAGCGCTGTCACCCCAGGGCAGGGATTGTCTGTGGCTGTATCTTGGATTATTTGAAAGGAAGACATTCAAAAAAAGATTAAACTTTTTGACATCTCAGGAACATGTAAAACATGTTTGCATCACACCTTTGGGTTTAGATAAACATTAATTCTGTCCCTGTCATTTAGACCTGAGGTCTAGGATTTTGGCTTCATCTAAACTGTAGGGTTTCCCTGTTTTGTTGTGTACTTGTCCTGTTGGATATCTTTTATTCCATAATCTCTATGTAGACTTAACACATTTTTTTTCTTGATTTTCAGAGTAAAAGAGACCATCTACTGATGAATGTAAAGTGGTACTACCGTCAGTCAGAGGTTCCTGATTCAGTTTACCAGCACTTGGTACAAGATAGGCACAATGAAAATGGTGAGTCCTTTTTTCATTTTCACCTACAGCAGTTTTGGCAAATGTTTTACGACAATACATCATTTTCATTTATACTCTTGTGCAGATTCCGGACGGGAGCTGGTCATCACAGATCCAGTCATTCGGAATCGAGAGCTCTTCATCTCCGATTATGTTGACACTTACCATGCGGCTGCTCTCAGGTAAATAGTTTTTTTTTTTTCTTCTTCTTTGTTAAAAATGTGCTTTTTTTCTTATCTGCACGTTCTTTCCATGTGAGACATTCTTTCCACAAGAGCTAGTTGCCTGGCTGTTGTACCAGCTTTCACTGACCTAGAAGAATCGTGCAGATCAGTAAGGTCAGGAAACATTAACATCTTAATCTGCATACCGTTCTGTGTCATTGATCCAAAGTAGTGAAGCAAAAATGGCAGAATGACACGAGGTGGAAGAGGGGCCAGGAGCCCCAGTGGGGAACAGATAAGGGGAGGATCAGGGCTGCTCTGTGCAAAACCATTACACAGAGTAGAGAAGTATAACATGTGTTTGTTATTTTAAAGGAAAAAAAAAAAAGATTTACAATGACCTCAAAGCTTCCCTCCAGGTAGAGTTTAAAAGAACATTTAATGCAGTTCTATATTTACCAAAGCAAAATATGTTATGAAAAATAGACTGGCCTTTTCACTTCATACTTACTTTCCTTTTCTTGCTTTTGGTTTTCTCTCTGGTCATATGACATCCGTGGGTCTTCTTCCTCTTATCCCTGAGGCAGTGGTGGATAGTCTACATTGCTGTAGAGAGAAGTGGTAAAGTTATAAAAATTAGCCCAGTGCTCTGCAGTATTGTGCTATGTGCTCAGGGAGTGTGTCATTGAGGGCCTGGACAAACTGTAAGGCAGTTGAATAATGCTGGCACCAATTTAACCATCTGTGAAGCAGAGTGTTTATTTTTTCTAATGTCTAAATAGGTTTGCTAAATGTAAATGTCCTTTAGAAATCACAATATATACACTATATTGCAAAAAGTATTGGGACACCCCTCCAAATCATTGGATTCAGGTATTCCAATCACCTCCATGGCCACAGGTGTATAAAATCAAGCACCTAGGCATGCAGACTGCTTCTACAAACGTTTTGTGGAAGAATGGGTTGCTCTCATGAGCTCAGTGAATTCAAGCTTGGTACCGTGACAGGTTGTCACCTGTGCAATAAGTCCATCTGTAAAATTTCCTTGCTGCTAAATATTCCACGGTCTATTAGTAGTATTATAACAAATTGGAAGCAACTGGAAACAGTAGCAACTCAGCCACCAAGTGGTAGGCCACATAAAATGACAGCGGAGTCAGCGTATGCTGAAGTGTGCAGAAGTCGCCAACTGTCTGCAGAGTCAATAGCTAAAGACCTCCAAACTTCGTGTGGCCTTCTGATTAGCATACCACTTTGTAGAGAGCTTCATGGAATGGGTTTCCATGGCCAAGCAGCTGCATCCAAGTCTTATATCACCAAGTGCAATGCAAAGCATCGGATGCAGTGGTGTTAAGCACGGTGCCACTGGACTCTAGAGCAGTGGAGATGTGTTCTCTGGGGGGATTATGGTGTAGGGATGTTTTTCAGGGGTTGGGCTTTGGCCCCTTAGTTCCAGTGAAGGGAACTCTTAAGGCATCAGCATACCAGACTGTGAGCAAGACCTTCTCATCCGACATCAGTGCCTGAGCTCAAAAATGCACTTCTGGAAGAATGGTCAAACATTCCCATAGACACACTCCTAAACTTTGTGGACAGCCTTCCCAGAAGAGTTGAAGCCGTTATAGCGGCAAAGGGTGGGCTAGTTCAATTATGAACCCTGCAGACTAAGACTGGGATGCCATTAAAATTCATGTGTGTTTAAAGGCAGGCATCCCAAGTGCCTGAATTTAATTTGGATAAAGATGTTATTCCCAGCATAGCATCACTTAAGCCAGCCTTAGATGGTTCAAGCCATCTATAGGGAGGCTGATTGTACTCAAGTCAATTGTTGAATGACTTATGTACATCCAGCCTGTCAGATTTTTTTTTATACGATTATTGCTAACGACTATAGCCGCTAGCAATAATCACTGTGTTTCTCCTGACAGGGACAGCTTCCCCACCCTCCAGAAGTACACAATAGCTCCATGAGAGTTTCCCTCATCAACACTGACTGTATTGAGTAATTTTCTTTCCTGCGACCCGTGGTAGAAAATTGTATTGTCAATGGCTTGCCTTAGAGGTCATAAAGTGATGCATCATACATTTCTCCAGCTATTATTTACAACACGTTGGAAGAGCACATTTTTTTTGAGATAAAATCGTGATTTACCTTGCAGTTGCTTAGAAAATTCTAACTAAAGCTGGTCATAGATGGTTCGAATCTCGATTGGTTCAGCAGGGACCGGCCGAGATTCTAACCATGTATGGGAAGGCTGATTTTATCAATCAACTTGGGTACCAACCATCCTGTCTCATTTTACAATTATTGCTAGCAGCTATTATAATTGCTAGCAGTAACCACTGTGTTCTAACAGCAAGGGTAGTTCCCCCTGCCAGGAGAACACAATGGCTTTGTGGGAAGGATTCTGCCATCAACAATGACTGTGTTAGGGGAATCAAGTGAGTTTCTTTCCTGCAACCCCTGGTTGCAGAAAATAAAATTGCTCCATCTTTGGTCAGCTTAATTCACACATCTAAATTGGATTATAAATACTCGACACCTGTTTAGCTGTATCACTGAATGTTTACACTGATGATAAATAAAAGATAGTTCTGCAACTTTGTGTAAGTGTAGACCCCAAGTCAATGGTTATGAAGTAAGGGCCTACTGAGCTTGAAAATCATCTTAAAGCGGTTCTACTCACCCTGTCAAAAAATAAGTCCGCAGCTACAAAAACTGTAGCTGCTGACTTTTAAAAAACAGCCATTTACCTGTCCCTCGGTCCCATGGTGTGTCCCCCGCAGCCATTCACTGGCCGTCCTGTATTCCAGGAGGCCGGCACCTTCAGTGTGGGCACCCGGATGTGATAGCTTGTGGCTTCACAGCTGGGTACCCACTGCTCATGCGCTTCATGAATGGTCCTGTAGTCTTCTGGAACCTGTCGTGTCCCAAAAGACCACAGAGAGGGAGGACACCTTCCGATCGCAATCAGACCGGAAGTGGGAGCCGGTACCTGTCAAATTCAGGTACCCGCTCCCCTCCCCCCACCCCCCCAAGGTGCCAATAATTAATGGGGAGCGGTGGAGCAGTCCTTAAAGCAGAACTTCCACTTTTGGGTGGAGCTCCGCTTTAATGTTTATGTATACCCAGAGATTTTTTTTTTTTTTAGCTCTGCATAGGGAAGGGTTAAGCCCCTGTCAGTTTATTTTTTGCTGTGTCCTGTTGGAAATTTATCCTTTCACTTTCTGTGCCAGTGGCACAAAAAGAAGTGAGCAAAACTCTGAGAGAGGAATTCCCCTCTTTGACGGTTATCCCTGTTTCTTGTCTCCCCTTTGAAAGATTTCCCTTCACCTCTTCTGGTTCTAAAATTTTGGATTTCTGATCATGTTCTGTTTTGGGAATAATTGTCACCAGGACAAAAAGGGTGAATGTCCCCAGTGAGGACTCGGAAAACAATAAGATCAGGGATTGGCAGGAGATTTTACATCATCCCCTTATTTTTCCAAAATTAAAAAAAAAATTTGTCTGTTTTGGCTATGCATATGTTTAAAATCTTTTACCTTGAGGACACTGAACAAGTACTAAACAAATACAATTGGTTAAATGTTTATTATACAGCCCTTAGTTGAGCCTAACTTTGATTAGGGTGTGTAATGTTAAAGTATCCTCCTTTGCCTTTAATAAAGCTGCTGTAGCTCTAAATGCGTAAAGGTAACACAATGTACTCTAAAGCCACATTCATGGGCTTTGTGGGGAAGTGGAAAGTTTATGGAAGGGACCTGGTCTATTTCAAACTGGAGTGAAAAGAGGTGAAGTTGAAATTATTTTCCTGGCACGGCTTTGCACTTGGCGGTCTGTGGTATGGTTGCCGGCAGAACGTGAAACCGAGTAATCTGTTTGATAATAACGCTCAGATGGCGCTTAAGTAAAACCATCTGGATAAATTTGCTTTGTTCAGAGTCACATAACCAGAGCTGCTGATTTCAAGGCAAATTAGCTCCAACTTGTGCTTGGGGCATCAGGAGGTAGAGACCAGAGAGTGGATAATCTTCTTTCACTTATAGCACAGCTTTTCTGGAACCCCACGCATTCCTGTAGAGCCTGTTAGTAGACATCCTACCGGGACAGATCGAGATATGCTATAGTATGTATGTGTACAAGTTTAGGTGTTGCAGTTCCTGGTGATCTTCAGCTCTGTTGCTGTCATCTCATTTATTTACAGGATAATTCACCAAAAAACAGGAGGCTGTAAATGTGTATAGTAAACAACTTTATTTGCATTTTCCAATCGATATAAAGCCATACTCTTCATAGGTTATAACTATGTAGAGGAAGTGCTATGATGATGTAAATTGATATCAGTCTTTCTAAATCAGTGCATTAGTTCACCTAAGATGAATAAATGGACCCTATAGGTGATATTTCTGTGCTTTACTTCCATGTCTTCACAGCTGCTGTGCCATTATAAGGGGTTCCCATTCTTTCTGTTGTTTAATATGGAATGTATCAGGGGTAGCTGAAAAACACATAGAATTTACTGTTCATGTATTATTACCATAAGAATCCAAGAGCTGACTCTACCATGGTCCCCCTAATTTTGAAATATCACTTTAAGGAGTGGGTCTGACCCTTCAATATATGAAAATGTAATTATCTTTGTCTGGACACTGGGAGAACAGGGGACGGAAGGCATTGCTTACGTATCCTGATTACATTACTTTTGGTAAATGTAATTTTATATATTTTCTACTAGCAAACATCCAGTAAACACAAGAATGATTAGGGTATATAATGAAATATTCACATGTAACATTTATTAGAAGTGTGAAGGCTATGCTGCTCTTTTATACCAGGCTATCACAGTGAATTTGGTTCATCCAAAGGGCCCCTGAAAAAGCACTGAGCAGCATGGGTGCATACCAGAAGCCCCCATTCACATTTTATAGCAAATATAGTTTGTAATCAGCAGGTCCAGGGCTGCATTACAGTTTATCCTAAATGCACTGTCCTACACTACTCCTTCTACTTTTGGGTGTGGATGAGGAGCAGATAGCAGAAGAGCAGTCCGTGTACAGTACGTGAGCTGAGTATTTATAGCAGAGGCAATGTGTAGGATAACATAGTGACTTCTCTAAAGCATCAATGTTGGGTTAAGTTGAGGAGGATATGCTTGGAGGTGCAGTTACAAAGTGGAGTCCCCCAGAACTATTCTCCATCCCCCAGTTGCACTTTTTTCTATAGAGATCACTTAGAACACCAAGACTAAATGATAGACTGATAGTGACAGAACATTGCAACAGCCTCACTGGCCTACAATTCCTAAACATACCTCGGAGCAGAGATTTTTCAGGCTGGTTCATTTCTTTCATAATAGACCAAAGGGAAGGGCAGAGCTGAAGGTCTCCTTTGCTCTAGATTTTGACTTGTGTGATGCTCTCACTTCGGCTCCTACCTTTTAAAATCTTTCCTGATGGGTCATAAAGCAATCAGGGCTAACACCCTGTTTGAACAACTATGCTCAGTTCAGACCCCACTATGTCATTCTTTATCCATTCTATAGGTAATGTTTATCAGCAATGAAAACCTCTTCTTTTAGCAGTGGGAGGAGGACAGAAATTTTTGCAAGCTCATTAAGATTGCATATTTGTTTGCATATAAAGCCTTGATACCTGTAAATGTCAAGAAAGTTAATACCAGCTACTTTCAGGGTGGTACAGAACCTCTACAGTACTTCATCCCATAAAGCCACAAGTCTCACAATTATTGCTGGAGGTGCCCGGAGGCTGAGAGCACTCTGCTGTGTATCTTCTGGATTGTCATAAACGTCATGATTTCTGGAGTATAGTGAAAGCCACCATAAAGGCTTCATAGGTGATAGGTGTCTCTTGCAAACCGACAATCTACCTACAAAATAAACACACAAATGTATAGCATCTTTATAGAGAAAGCAACAAACCATTGTACAATCAACCAACGTTCACGTTCCTCATTATTTATTCACCATCTCCCACCTATTTTTCTTTTCTCTTCCCATCTCTGTAACCCTGGCATTCCTCCACACAACACCCACATATCTTCCCGCCCCCCAAATCAAACACACTAGACCCTTCCATTCTCCCTTTATCATGATTACCGTTTTCAGAGCATAATATGAAATTCCCTACTTTTTGGACAGGAAGTAGAAAGAAGTCTCCTTAATGGGACATAGAAGGCAAAAAACCTGCCAGGGGTTATAACCCCTCCCTTAATATATCCAAAATGGAAAGAAAACTATTTGCCTTCAGTTCTACATTAATTTAATAAAACAAAACAAAAAACGAGTTAATTTTTCAATGAAGGAACAAACTTGGGCCCTTAGGTAGGTCCAGCTTTTATCAGTATAGTGTAGACGGATTCATGATTGGTTGCAATGTTGTGCAATACACCGCTGTGTGTCCTATTTCATTTAGTGCCAACAATCTGTCTTTCTGTCCTTTTATTCTAATACCTTGTATATATTTTGTGTATGGGAAGGTACAGCAATGTGATGGGTGATGTCTGTGAATCATTTTGGTAACTTTGTAATATTTTTTTTATTTATTTTTGACAGAGGCAAGTGCCACATCTCTCATTTCTCAGATATATTTGCTGCTCGGGAGTTTAAAGCCAGGATAGACTCCTTCTTCTACATTCTGGGGTACAATCCGGAGACCCGGTAAGCTGTCCTAGTATTACTGTTTCTCAGTTTTGAGCTCTGTTTACATCGCTGTGGATTTCTGTCCATTGACAAGCTTTACTTCACTATTTTATGTGTCATAACTGAATTATTCACATCAATGGAAGGTTTATTTTATGCTAAATGCAGAAAAGATCCTGGCATTTCCTAATCTGGAATAGAGTAGAAGTTAAGTTAACCCTCCACAGATTTGATTACTGGTTTGCTGCTTGTAAAAGAGAATATGTTAAGGCCTGGTCCTGTGATGGGCATCTTTGCATGCTGGAAGAATGCATTTAACTCAGGTTTAACATAGCAATGACCTGTTCATTACATACTGTAATGACCTAAACTGCTGGTTTTGAATATACTGTAGCTCCATATGTTCATTAGGAGGAGAAAGAGGTTGATTTTCTTATTTAGGTCAGAATCAGAAGTACAAGCCTTGTGTTTTTAAATATAGTGGTTTGTCCATCTGCATGAGTTGTTGCATGAAGGTGGTGTTTGCAGTATGTATATCAGTGTTAATAAACCGCTAAAATAAGTGGTTGTCAATAGTGTGGTTCACTTGGTTAGCTTTATGCTTTTGACTTGTATATAAAAGTTAGTTTTTCCATTTTTGTCAGTTTATTTTGAAATGTATGGAATAATGTAGTATGACCTTTTTATATATTTATTTTTACACGCACACACATCTTTAGCCAATTCCTTAAACATTCTTTTACATGGTGTGTTTGAAGTCTTTGAGGATAAACCTAAACCAATTTTGGTAGACTTAGTGATTGTACATCTTTTTTTTTTTTTTTTTCCAATTCAAATAACAAACCTGTCATACTTACCTGCTCTGTGCAGTAGTATAGCACAGAGTGGCCCTGAACCGTCTCATCTGGGGTCCCCTCCAGCCATCTCTTCTCCTCTTCTGTGTCTGCCACCATAGCAAGCTGTGTAGGCATGTAGGCTCAATCCCAACCTGGGTCTTGTGCATCTATAGACATACACCGCGTGTCTTGGCCCCCCCTACTCCCTGGTCACAGGATTTGACTGACAGCAGCAGGATCCAGTGACTCCCACTGTTCACAGTCAAGCCTGTGAAAGCGGGAAGAAGAAAGTGTTTAAGTGGGGGCTGGGGGGAGCAGCTATTGAAAGGCTATTTTGCCTTAATGCAGAGGATGCATAAGGTGAAAAATCTTTTTACATTTTAAAAACCCCTTTTACATCCTGGTCACTGTTCTATTGGGCCTGTGTCAGCAGACTTTGGGCTTTTGTCGAGATCATCAGAACGACATCAGTTTAACCTCCCTGATGGTATTCCCGAGTGTAGCTCAAGGTAAAGTTTCAGTACCACAGGCGGTAACCCCGAGCTACACTCGAACTTACCATGCGGCACTGCTCTGGCATCTGTTCTTCACTTACCTTGTCCTGCGCTCCTGCAGTGTCCCCGGCAATGTAATGCGGCGGATGCCGGCATCTGTCATCTGGGTTCCGTCCCCTGCAAGTGTTGGGACGGAACGGCGGGATATTTGAAAATGACAAAAAGTGACATTTACTAAATACACTAAAATCACATAGTAAAACATTACTGTATCAAACCATTTCACATACATTGTGTCCCTAGTGCTTTGTCCTGTGTCCTGCCTACATTTTTACCGTTCTTTCTGCCTGGAAACTGAGAATCGTCCATGGCGTCCAAAAAGCATCCCTTTAGGTCAAAATCGGCTTTAGAGACCAGCTAGAGAACAGTGATAGTAAATTAGAACCACTTGCAGAATTGAGTGATAATGATTCGTGGGGAAATTCGTCATCAGACACTGCAAACGATTTTGTGACTTTGCTCAGTGATATGCGAACTTGGTGCTATATTTCAAATTTCAGTGTTTTTGGTTTGATTATATTATTGAATTAAATTTATTATTATTATATTATTTTTTTATGATTATTAAATTATAATTTATGATTTCGTGTTTCAAATTTTATCATACCGGGATGTTTACTAGACTCTTGTTTGGACAGATTTCAGTGAGTTATTCCTAAAAATTACAGGCCTACAATTAAAAAAAAATGCATATTTCCATGCAAAAAAATGTACTGCTTTGAGCACAGAAATATGGACATAATCAGACCGCTAGGGAGGTTAAGATGCTTCAGAGATCATTCAGCTGCCATTCCTTCTGCTGATCAACCAGCACTCTTCATCACTCTGTTCCTTCTGCTTTCTGTGGTTTTCATGTGAGCTTACAAGTTCATAGACTGCTATCCATTGTAGTTATAGTTTATGTACACCCTACAACAAACTTCTCTCATATTCTCCCTTTTAGTCTCCTAAATATAGCATTGAAAGTATTTATATTTGTTCAAGAGGTCCAAACGCAACTGTTCATCCTGCCAGACATGTTGTGAGCTGATAACTATCTGCACAAAGGAAAGGGTTTGGGAGCAGTGATGAGGGAGAGGTCTCTTCTTCATAATCCAACAGAAATAATATAGGCAGGGCTGACAACATGCTTAGGAATTCAGATTTGTGTTGTCATCTGAGAGATCAGAGCACGCATTTTTTCTAGCTTATCAACCATTTTTTTTGTTTGTACTTACAGCATGTTTAAAGGGATAAAACGGGAATGTGCATGTATTCCAAGGATGTACTAAATGTTTTTTGCCTTGAAATATGCTTTAAGAATGTTTGCCCATTGTTTCTCATAGATTGTGTTGGTTATTAAGACTGCAAAAGTGTTGACACTTTTTGTGATGAGAGTCCTAAAATAGAATTCATTCCCTGTGCATGGTGTGATTCGTTCTCCTGGTCTCATACCTTTTAGCTTTTAAAGTACATCTGTATTCGTGACTATTATATACCTACTGCTTATCCAGTAACAGAGCTGTCATTACCATGTAGTGACCATGGAGGGCACTGTTGTCTTGGAATTTCAGTATATTCCTCCTCTTGCCCATATGGTCAGAGTTTATGCTTTATCTTAATTAAAAAAAGCCGTCTGTTTGCTTCATACTGACTTCACGTAAAGTTTGTGCTTGTTATAGATGATATTTTCAATGCACTATGTCTCACATGCTGTAATATGACGTGTTTATCATTTATTTTTTGTATGTTACCTCATTGTTATCTGACTGTTTACTGTAACATCAAACGGTACATTTTAGATTTTCGAAATTTTGCATTCTTGAATAATTACGATTAGTTGTGCCACAGCAAAGTGGCATCACATTGGTCTGTTTTGATGTTAGTCCCAGCCATTTATCTACTAAATGTCCCACTATATGCTGTGTGTGCTTGATCATCTGGGTATGGCTGTAATGATGACATTCACTCTTAAAGTGGTTGTAATGGTTCAAGGTTTTTTTTTTTTTATCCTTCATGCATTCTATGCATGAAGGTAAAAAAACTTTCTCTGTGCTGTAACCCCACTAACATTCACCTAAGCCCTCTTTCAATCCAGCAATGTGCACCGGAGTCTCTGCTCGCATAGAACTCCCTCTTCTCAGTGGCTGAGACACCAACAGGAGCCATTGGTTCCCAGGCTGTCAAACTCAATCAGTAAGCCAATTAAAAGGGATAGGGGGTGGAGCTGAGCTACGGCTCTGTGTGTGAATGGACATATGTAGCAGCGGGTTCCCCCCATAACAAGCTGCTTGCTGTGGGGACTCTCAACAGGAGGGAGGGGCCAGGAGCACCTGCGGGAGACCCAAGAAGAGGAGAATCCGGGATGCTCTGTGCAAAACCACTGCATAGTGCAGGTAAGTATAACTTTTTGTAATTTTTAGAAAAAAGTATTTAGTATCGCTTTAATATTGACATATGGAGGCCTGTGCCTTAAAGCAATATTAAACCCAAAAGCAAACATTTAACATATTGCAGATTCCAAATTCTTAGATGTGATTGCTGTATTATTTTGCTTTTTTTTTTTTTTAGGCATTTTCTATTTTCATCTGGTGATTCAGCCAGTAAGTCTGTTATTTTTTCAAATGCATACGTTCTCCAGCAGAATGTTTCAGTTTACATGGATGAGACAGCCTATTTAACACTGGCAGGGGTGATTAAAATGATCAGATTATATTTATTCATTTAAAACCTTTATCCCAAAAAAGGAAACAAACTGTTTGCTGTAGCTGATTATAGTGTGAGCTGGAGTTTGCCTTCAGTTTGTTGTACTTAAATCTGCTGATACATTTAACATGCCACTCCCCCCAGACTACAATGCTGCTGCCTGCTCACCTCCTTTGCTTATTCCTCCAGAGTTGTGTCTCATTAACCACTTGCTAACCGTGCCATAGCCGAATGATGGCTACAGCGCAGTTATCCAGTTCTGGGAGGGTGCCATATTACGTCCTCCCAGAACGCGCCCCAAGTGGTGCACACCCAGTGATCTCCATGATCGCTGTGTCCTATGGACACAGCTGATCACGTGATGAAGTAAAAGGCCAATCACGGCAGCCTTTTACCACGTGATCAGCTGTGTCCAATGACACAGCAGATTACGGGAGTAAATACAGTTGCCGGTTATCAGCAGTACTTTGCTCATGCTGTCACAGTGTGAGGAAAGTACTGCCAATAACTGGCAGCTGTCACAGAGCAGATCGGCATTGATCATCAGGGCACTGATGATCAGTGCCACCAGTCAGTGCCATCAGTCAGTGGTCATCATTGCTGCATATCAGTGCTGCCTCATCAATGCCCACCAGTGCCACCTAATCAGTTCAGCCTATCAGTGCTGCCTATTTGTGCCACCTCATAAGTGCTGCCTATCAGTGCAGCCTCATCAACGCACAACAGTGAAGGAGAAAAATTACCTGTTTGCAAAACTTTATAATAAAAACAAAGAAAAACTTTTTTTTTTTTTTTGCTCTTTTTTTGTTTGTAGTGCAACAAAGAAAAATCCCAGTGGCAATTAAATACCACCAAAAGAAAGCTCTATTTGTGTGAAAAAAGATAAAAAAAATTTCATATGGGTACAGTGTTGCATGACTGCGCAATTGTCATTCAAAGTGCG